ACTTGGAAAGTCCCAGTGACTTGGTTCACCATGAGTTGAGAATCGCAATGGAGGACAAGTCGTCGAGTGCCATATTTGAGGGCTAATTTCAATCCTGCAATCACAACTTCATACTCGGCCTCGTTGTTAGTCATCTCGGGGCATCGTATGGACTAGCGAATTACTTCGCCCGTAGGAACCTTGAGGACGAGTCCCAGTCTTGATCCCGATGCATTAGATGCGCCGTCGTTGTAGAGGACCCAGAGGTCGGAATGTGCAGAAGCGCGGAGCACCTCCTGATCTACTTCAGGCAATACTTCTGCGCTGAAATCGGCAACGAAATCGGCGAGCACCTGCGACTTTATAGATATTCGTTGTTGGTATGTTATATCGTGCTTGCTTAATTCTATGGCCCATTTGGCCAACCTACTCGATAACTCGGGTTTGTTTAGGATACCCCTGAGGGGGGAAGGTTGTCACCACCTTTATGGGGTGACATTGAAAATATGGTCTAAGCTTTCGTGAAGCTACGACTAATGCTAGAGCTAGTTTCTCAAGGTGGGGGTACCTTTTTTTGGCATCAATTAAGGTTTTGCTAATATAGTAAATCGGATATTGCGTACCTTTGTTTTTGCAGACCAAAACTGCACTTACCGCGACTTCGAAGAGTGCTAGGTACACCAGGAGGCATTCGCCCGGGTCTGCCTTGACGAGTAGTGGCAGCGAGGACATATACACTTTTAGTTTTCTCAAAGCGTCGACACATTCTGAATTCCACTATAGCACGTGGTCCTTCCTTAGTACATTGAAAAATTTATGGCATCTGTCTGATGATCGTGAGATGAACCTCAACAGGGCGGCTATTCGTCCTGTTAATTTCTGCACATGCTTCTTGCTGGTTAATGTCTCCGATATTCCTTCTATGGCCCTGATCTAATCAGGGTTGACTTCGATACCCCTTTGTGACACCAAAAAACCAAGGAACTTTCCTGAGGTTACGCCAAAGGCGCATTTTTTGGGATTTAGTTTCATTCCGTATCGCATCAATATTTCGAAGGCTTCCTTCAGATGACCAATGTGACCCTCCTTCTTTTTCGACTTCACTAGCATGTCATCGATGTAGACCTCCATGGTCTTACCGAGTTGTTCTTTGAACATCTTAGTGACTAACCTTTGATACGCCGCCCTTGCATTATTGAGTTTGAACGGCATGACTCTGTAGCAGTACGTTCCTTGGTGAGTGATGAAAGTAGTCTTTTCTTGGTCTTCTTCTGCCACTAGAATTTGGTTGTAACCATAATAAGCGTCTAAAAAGCTTAGTAGTTCATGTCCCGCTGTTGCATCGATGAGCTGGTCGATATATGGTAACGGAAAGGAATCTTTCGGGCATGCTTTGTTCAGGTTGGTGAAGTCGACACACATCTACCACTTCCCATTCTTCTTTTTTACCATGACCACATTGGCGACCCACTGAGGATATTTTGATTCTCGGATGGAACTATTAGCGAGCAACTTATCAACTTCTTTGCCGACCGCCTTATTGACGACGACATTGAATTTTTCCTCATTTGCCGTACTGGCTGGTAAAGAGGGTCGACATTCAGCCTGTGTATGGCGATGTCCCTTGGGATTCTCGACATATCTGAATGAGAAAAGGCAAACAAATAGGCATTGTTAGTTAAGAACTTATGGAACTTACCTGGTTCTGAGAGGTTGTGTCCAATATAAGATTTTTTCATACTGTTGGTGTTGTCCAATTGAATGGGGTCGAGGTCTTCTACGGTTGCCTTACAGGCTTCTACGACATTCGGGTCTTTGATGGCCTCTATTTGTATGTCGGGTTTGGTTCCCGACATGGCTGATTGCTATGCTTCCGCACTTGACCCCTTTAGTTGTTGGGTGTGTGTGCAATCATGGGCAATTCAGTAGCATTCTTGGATGGTGCATTTCTCGCCTTGGATGCTAAATATTCCCTATGGGGTAGGAAATTTGATTACTAGATAGAAAATTGACGGGACGGCTCACATGATGTGTATCTATGGATGCCCTATTATAGCGTTGTAGGCTGTTTCCTGGTTCATGACATGAAACGTCATTTCCAGAGTGACTCATCCTGCCAGAACGAGTAACACTATCTCTCCAGAGGTCCGTTCCACTGCATGATTAAAACCCGTTAGTGTTATGCAGTGTGGTACTATCTTATCCTCGAGTCTCATCTGTACGAGGACTCGTGGATGAATGATACACGCGCCGCTTCCGTCATCCACCATTATTCTTTTTACATCGGTATTAGTGATACGTAAAGTTATAACAAAGCATCATAGTGAGGGAAAGACAAACCGTTGGTATCTGACTTATCGAAGATGATACTATCTTCGAGGTCGTTGTACCGTTCGTGAGCAACTATCCTCTTAAGTTTGTGTGTGACAGTGAATTTTACATGGTTGATTACCGAATCATCGTCGTCACCAATGATCATTTATATGGTGCAAGCTGGTGAAGGTGGTTTTGGGGGTCCTTGAGGTTGATCGCGTCCGCGAGCGAAGTTAACCCGTCCTCGATCGCTTAGCAGTTCTTTCAGGTATCCCTGATTTAGCATTCTTACCACTTCCTGTCGCAGACCTATGCAGTATTCAGTCTTGTGTCCTCTTTCCTGGTGGAATTCACACAGAACATTCGATCTCTAGGTGCTCGGATCTGACTTCATCATTTGCGGCCACTGCACCTTTGTGCCGAGCTTTTCTAGTGTATACACTATTTTTGAAGGAGAAACACAAAAGCTATGAGCAGATAATAGTGGAGGCATACCTCTTTCGTTTCGAGGTGGCACGGTGTGTCGAGGCGTGATGTCTGCATCTCGTGGAGGAGGTGGGTTGGATGTTCGGATGTAGGGCTGATGCCTTTCTCGATTGAAATGAGATTGTTGGTCCCTTCGACCATCATTGCGGCGATCTCTCCTTGTTTCGATTTGGACCGATGTTAGCCGTTGGATCAAACCATTTAGGTCATCTTCGTCTGCCCTTACTTCGGCACAATAGGCATTATTGGATTTCTTCCCACGTGGTGAGAGGGTACTTCATGAGTCTACTTAGCATCTTTTTGGTTGCTTTTGACCCATTTCTGTTTAACCCATTTTGGAAGGCTGCTACCGCCATCCTTTCTGATACGTTTGGTAGGCTCATTCTTACCCTGTTAAATCGAGCTAGGAAATCTCGAAGTTCTTCGCCTGTCGTCTGCCTGACGGCGAAGATGTCATTTACCCTGGCCTCTGCCTTTTTCGCTCCTGCGTGAGCGGTGACGAATTTATCTGCCATTTCTTCGAACGTTGATATCGATCGTACCATGTCAACGCTCCCCATGTCAGAGTTTCGCCGAACTTTTTCAGCAACACAGATGGCACCTGTTTTTTTGATAGATCGTTGCCTTTTACTGTAGTGACGTGGTGGATTAAGTGATCATCCGGGTCCGTGGTGCCATCATATATTTTCAAGTATGGCAACATTTTGAAGGTTTTCGGAATAGAGTGGGGAGTTGCCCCTTCACTATATGGCTATTCGACGAATCGGCCTACATCACGTTTTGGTAGCAACTTCGGAGCGCCTGGTATTTTATTAACCCTTTCCTGATGCTCCTTCATCTGATCGCGGAGCGTTTTGTTCTCATTTTCCATCTCTTCCATTTTCTTTAAGATGGCCGCAAGTGCATCGCTACCTGCATCAATGACAGTATGAGTGTTACCTGTGCATGGAGTTTCTGGCTCATCGGCGACAGCTGCGGTTTCTGCGTGTATTGTGCCTCCGGTATCCCTTTGAATGGGTTTGTCGAGTATGTTGTTCAAGGTGTTTGTCAACCACTCTTCTAATAGCCTTTTCACCGCCAGTGGTGCTTTTCCTGCTGAGGATGTTGAGGTTTCCCTATCGCGCGAGACAATCATGCTTTTGTGTGGAGGGGGAGGGGGTTGAGGCATCTCCCTCAGATGTAACGCTTGGCGTTACGTTTTCATTGTCTTCCCTACCAGCTTCGTTGCTGGAATCCAGAAGGTTGTTTGTGACACCTACTATTGCCTTTAATCTTGCTTCCCCCTTTCCTTCCATTGTTGGTCTTTCCGAGGCTAAGAAGAAGTGATTATCCCTTTCAAGGATCTGGACGAAACTAAAACCTCAGCTATAGAAATCTTTACAAACGACGCCAAATTGTTTGACTAAAAAGATATTGGAACTTTTTTGAACAAATCAATTAAAGAAAGTGAAGGGGTAAATCTTAGCTAAGTATAATAATTTCTAGAACAAAAGGTATATACGACGAACACAATGGATAATATTTCTTGGTTTTGTGAAGATGAATCATTGAACATTAAAAGATACCAATCGTTTATGTAGGCAAGTATTACAATCAGTGTTCTTAGCTGGAAAAGCAGAGAAAAGAGAGAGCTTTACAAGGTTGTTTCTCTGTTATATATAAGGGACAAACCTCTTCTAAGCCCTAAAAGACAAATCATATGGAATATTCGAAAGAATATTCCTAATGCCTCCTAATGGACCTACACTACTGTAAAAGTCGTGCAGTCTCTGTTCGCTTGTCCGTCGTCCTCCACAGTATGTCGAGCCACGATGATCTTGTCGTTTGTCGTATTCGTCAACGGTCGTGGTCGTCCAAATTTGGACCCATACAATACTAAGTATATTGTTGTTTTTGTTGTTATTCTCTTTGCAAAAGTTGATATGGCCTACGTTTTGATTTAGTGGAATACCGTAATGTGTAGGCGTACATTAAGGTTCGAACTCTATTACAGATAAAAAATTAATATTTAAGCGGAGAAAAAATAGATGACGATTTCATTATCTATAGAATTTCAAATCTTCGGGTACTAATCTTCAAGAATTTCTCGATTATTTGAAAAGAAATATATATATATATATATGCCAAATGGGCTTTTTCCTTGAGCTGGCCCAATTAGCTGTCTGGCTCGGTCCATACAACTCCAGAAGTACTTCTCTGTTCTTTCTTTCGGAGATATTTTTCCAATTTTGTTATCTGTTAAACCCAGAAAACTCCCTCCTCTTCAACCCATTCCCTTATCCTCCCCTGCACACTACTCTGATCACTATGGCGGGTACAACATCCACTGCATTCCGTGCAACCTCTCCAACTCTCCTCGACTTCGAACCTTTCTTCTCTAACCCAAAATCCATACCCGCAAATTTCCCCTTTCAAACCCGCTCGACGCCCTCAATTTCCCATGCCATCCGGGCCGTAGCTCCGGGTTCGGACCGGATCAACACAACCAGATGCAGAGCCAATCGTTCCGCTTATTCTCCCCTTAATTCCGGGTCGAACTTCGGGGACCGCCCGCCCACTGAAATGGCTCCGCTTTTCCCCGGTTGTGATTACGAGCACTGGCTTATAGTTATGGATAAACCTGGAGGTGAAGGTGCTACTAAGCAGCAAATGATTGATTGTTATATTCAAACTTTAGCCAAAGTTGTTGGAAGGTAATTGTTGATGTTTTTTTTTTTTTTTTACTGTTTATGAATTAAAAACTTATTTAACTAAACGGTAGATGCAGGTTAGTTTTATATATGAATTATATATGTAGTCTGGCCTCATGATTAATTTTATACTGGTTCTGCCTTTGAATGTCATTTATCTGTAGAAAAAAGGGTACTTTCTGAGGCATGTGAAATACTGAATACGAATTTTCTTATGAATTATGAAATTTAGTGAAGAAGAGGCGAAGAAGAGGATATACAATGTTTCATGTGAAAGATACTTTGGTTTTGGATGTGAGATTGATGAGGAGACGTCGAATAAGCTTGAAGGTCTGTGTTTGGATCATTTTATGTATTGTGTTAGCAAATGCCTAAAGCAGCTGTTCGAGAAAAATCTTAAAACTTTGCGTTTTATGGAATCTGTATAGGTTTGCCTGGTGTTCTTTTTGTCCTTCCAGATTCATATGTTGACCCTGAGAACAAGGATTATGGAGGTACAGCTTTTCCCTTTGCTGATCTTCCTATCTTAATAGGCAAAAAATGAACTTTTTCTCTCTAATTCATTTGGTCTTTTCTACACTTGCGCTACAATTGCTAGGATTGATTGTTGTTTTTGTCTGTGCTTGCTATCAGTCTCAAGTATTTTGCATTCAAAAACAACTCTTTTTTTTTAGCTTAATATTTGTGCTGAGGGTCTGCTATTACTATGCTTACCTGAGCCAAGGGTTTATCGGAAACAACCTCTCTACTTTCACAAGGTAGGGGTAAGGCCTGCGTAATATTACGCTCCCCAGTGGGAATATATTGAGTATGTTGTTTATTTGTTTTGAGGGTGTATCCTTCTAAAGTAGCTCATTGGAGATCATGATAAAGCAAGATATATTCCTTTTGAGAAGCGTCATGGTGATGGACCTCTAGTGATGATTTTATTGGAAAGTTTGCTACTCTTTTAGAATGATGTGTAGGAATGAAGTACTCAACTATTTTGATCTGTTATGGGCATGAGTGCTAATTCTACGTTTAATACCTTTAACCTACTTCCTGGTTCCGCTTTTCATTCCTTTGTTTTTCCTCTTTAAGTCCTTCCAGTTTGCGCTAAAGATTATTGTTTTGTAAATAAATAGAACTGTCAAGAATTGAGCTTTATCTTGTGATATTGTATTATAGCTATCATGTTGGCGCCCTCTGTATCTCATCATTACATCTTCGACTTTAACTGGATATACACCTTTAACCTCTTTTATGACTTCCAGCTGAGCTATTTGTGAATGGAGAGATAGTTCAAAGGTCACCAGAAAGACAAAGAAGAGTGGAGCCAGTGCCCCAGAGGGCTCAAGACAGACCCAGATATAATGACCGAACACGTTATGTGAGGCGCCGTGAGACTACGCGGTGACAACTGATCTCTGATAATTTTTTTATTTTTATGTATCTTAGTTGGGGAAAAGCCTCTATTATGAGAAGAGATGGTATCCAGTTATCTTGTTCTGCGTTTGTGTAAGCTCTATTGTTATGGGTGATTCAGCTATTTAGCTGAAACTTTGAAAAGATTAAACACTTCATTGTCACTTTGTCAGTATAGCTTAAGCAAGTTCATTCATGTGTACAAATTGTGCCAGCATACTTCATTTGTGATGTAGTTTATAATTAATTAGCCAGTCAGTAACCATATCAAGTTTCTAATGCTGCAGAGTGTATTTGAGGTTCTAGATGGCGTGATGTGCAACTGTAGTACCCATGTTATCTATTCTTTCTTGATTATTTGGATTATGCATCAATTCAACTGACTCTGTTATATAAATGAGTGACCGGAAAATGCCTCGTCAGCTAAAAAATAGTATTTCACTAATTCAGCTGTCGTCTAGATGGTTGTTGGCCTGCTGTTAATACGCAGCTCTATACTGCCACAAAATGAATATTATCTGGTCCTTTATCTCTAGTGTGTTTAGCTTTCTAATGAATGTTAGGCTTCATTGTGATTCGTGCATTTAAGCATTCCACTGTGACCACTGATAACTTTACCAATTCAAAAAAAATTCAGTTCTGATGTTATACATCGACTATGTTTCTTTAATTTTTTTATTTTTTTTTGGAGGGGGAAGAAAAGAAATTTCAAGGAACTACACCTGTATAACACTGCAAAAATGTCTGGATTTTTTTTTTTTAAAGTCTATCATTTTGGAAGTCACAAGACCAACTCATCCAAATAAGAAAGTTTTGTAGAATATTATGTGTCGCACCGACATGTTCGCCGTATTGCAGTCAAGAGTCAAGATATACGTATTCATTTCTAATATTTATGATAATCATAATAGTCTTCCCTTGTTTTTTTTTGTTGGGTTTATTTATGTATCGTATTAGAGCTCAATTATATTCGAATTTGCGTCACATAATTTTTTTTTTTTTGGTTTATATATATAATAAACTAGGGATTACATTGCATAGTCTGTCTATGTTGGGGTATTGCAGTTCCCCTAAGACAGCCATATTTTGTTCAATTGTATCAATATTACAGAGGAACTGCTAGTATGGTGGTTCTACCCAAAAAACTTGAATTTGCTGCCTCCTTTGTCAGTGCATCGGCCACCCTATTCTGCTCCCTGCAGTTGTGCTTCACCATCACCTTGTTCATCCTTTGCATTAATAACCTGCATTCACAACTCATAGGATCAAAAGTTGTGTTGCCTGTGAGTAGCATTTTTATTACTTAAGCCAAATCTGTATTTATGTCTAGTGGAGTCCAGCCATTTTGTTCTGTTAGTTGGAGTCCCTTTAGCAGAGATTTTAGTTCTGCGATGGTGTTGGTAGTATGTGGTATATTTTCCATATGATTCCTGAATACTCCACCATTTCCCCAATGCATGGGTTACCCTTGGCAGCCCCATCTGTGTTGAGTTTATAGTGACCCCTCCTGGGGGAGGGGGGTTTCCCATATAACTCTGGTATGTAATAGCCTCCTAATAGCACCATTTTGTGCCAACATATAGTACTCTGTTGCTTTGGAGATGGTGTTATTAGCACTGATGTTATCTCTTTTGTTATTAAAGAGGTTATGGTTTCTTGCTAGCCAGATGTGCCAAAAACAAAAAGGGATGATGTTCTCCCATGGAATGATGTTGTTGAAGGAGAGTTTCTTTAGCTTATTCCATGTTAATGGCCACAGTTGAGCTGAGAATGTGGGATTCAACTGCTGACCTTCAGTAGATCCTTTGGATAGTATTTCATACCAGAAGTGGGTTGCATTGGGGAACTTCAAAGAAGATGTGGTCACTTATTTCGGGACTTGCTAAGCAAAAACAATATTGGGGGTTACAGTTAACCCCAATTATGTGCAGGAAGGCTCCAGTAAGCAGCCTATTTTGGGCAAGGAGCCAAGTAAAGTTTTTGATTTTGTTAAGGACTTTTAACTTCCATATCCAAGTGCAGTTGTCTTCCTCACCTTTCCACAAAGACTCTTTATTGCTTCTAACGAAGGTATAGACTGATTTGGTGGTGAAAGACTCGCTTGGAGTCAACCCCGATATTAGTCTGTCCTCCTTGGCAGAGTTGGAAGGAATGAAGGTTGATTTGATAAAGTTAATGATGTTCTCAGGGATGTTTATAGAGATGGAAGAGAGATCCTAGTTCCCAGAATTGTAGGCAGAGTCCACTTTGGCAGCTATGTCATTATGGGTTAAAGGGCCTTCAATCATGTCCCTAATAGATGGATGGTTTGGAATTCAAGCATCATTTATGAAGCTCACCCTGTTACCTTTGTGGACAACCCATCTACTGGCCTTATTGCATGTATCTCAGCCCTTGAGGATGCATTGCCAAATTGGATATTTTGGTTTCTTGGGGGTATGGTTCCAGTTACAATGCTTAGAGATCACGACTCTAACCCATAAGCTAGAGGTGTTATGGTAGATCCTCCAAGCCAACCCGACATGTGAAGCTTTTATTTTTAAGCTTAGTTTTCTGCAAATGCAGCCCTCCATAGGACTTCTGCCTAGTGACTTTGTCCCAGCTAACCAGGTGCAATTTTTTCTTGTTTGGAGTTGTGCCCTAGATAAAATTTCTCTGAATTCTATCAATTTATTTGGTAGTCTTGATGGGCAATTTGATGTATTGCATGACATGACTTGGGATACTACTGAGAGAGGCCTTGGCAAGGATGATCCTTCCAGTCATATTTAGACAATTTATTTTGCATCCAGCCAGATTAGATTGCATATTATCTATTATAAACTGGAAGTCAGTACTAGTTGGTCTCTTAGAACATAGGGAATCTAAGGTATTTCCCAAAGGATGTTGTATCTTGGATTGACAATGCATTTGTGAGGTATTCCATTATGTCCTGCCTTGTGTTAGAGGAGGAGCAAAGAACCCCGGACTTTGTGAGATTGATTTTTTGGCCAGAATCCTCATTGAATGCTTGCAAGATGGAGTAGATTGTGGTGTAGTTCCTAATATTTGTTTTTGCAAAGAGAGTAAGGTCATCAGCAAAGAATAGATGAGAATTTCAGCCAGACCTACTGATACTGATAGGGAGCCATTGTTTGTCCTGGACAACTTCATCAATTGACCTGGAGAGCCTCTCCATACACAGAATGAACTAGTAAGGGGAGATTGGGTCCCCTTGTCTGATGCCCCTAGAGGGCTTGAAGGAATCTGTTTTGCCCACATTCACTAGGATGGAAATGTTAGATGAGCTAATGCAGGACAAGATTAACTTAGTTAGCCTAGGAGGGAAGTTGAAGGCATGCAGTGTATACCTAATAAAGGACCACTCCAGCATGTCAAAAGCCTTCTCTTAGCCAATTTTCAGAATTATATGAACTTGGCACCCAAAATAAGTAATGTATTCTTGGACAATGATTGCATTATCAAATACCCTTCTATTTGACAGGAAACTAGCCTGGCTAGGTCCAATTATAGCAGGTAAAGGGGGCTTGATCCTATTGACAATGATCTTAGTGATGGTCTTGTAGATGGTGTTACAAATCCCTATTGGCCTGAAGTTTTTGAGCATGGTGGCTTGGGGACACTTAGGAATGATATAAAGGAGAGTTTGATTCATGGTCTCATCTATGGAGTGTGTGCTAAAGCATTGTTTACAGAAGTCAACTATTGAGTTCCCCACAATGCCCAGTACCTTTGGTAAAAGAAGGGTGAAGCCCATCCGGGCTTGGTGCCTTGAAGGGCTTAAGGGAGAATATGGCCATTTTAATTTCACTAACCTCAAGGGACCTATCCAAGCTGTCTTTTTGACAGTATGATAGGATATGGGTCATGTCCATATGGCTGGTAATGGAAATAGGAGCTTGAGTGTGTGAGGAAGTGTAGAGGATTTTGAAGAAGTGCATTATAGAGGCCTTAATGTCCCCTTAGTCATAGAGCCAGTTTCCACTCTTCTCTTTGAGGGACAAGATCATGTTTCTTCTTTTCCTATTAAGAGTGGAGGTTTGGAAGAATCGAGTGTTGGCATCCCTTCAGTAAGCCAATTAACCCTTGACTTGAGTTTCTAGAAGTCTTCCTCATTCTTGAGGATGGAGTCAAGTTCTCTGGTCTGTTACTTTCTAAGTTTAGCAGGTAATTGCTAAACTAGTAGTTTGGTGATTTTTGGATCCCGACAATTCTGGCTAGGATCCTTCTCTTTTTGTAGAAGATGTTGCCAAATGTGTGCTTGTTCCACTGGGTCAAAATGCTTTAAAATGTTTCAGTTGATTGGATTAGGGGGGAGTTATTAGTGAAGGCCTCATTGATGATATTGGGTGGCTAGTCCACATGGATTCAAACCTGAAAGGTCTGTTGGAATTATTGAGAGAGCCCCCCTTTAGCATTATTTTAACATGGTAGAGATCTGAGTAGGTCCTAGGGAGGTGGTTAACAGTAGCCTCAGGGTACTGGGAAATCCAACATTCGTTAGGAAAGCACCTATCTCTCCTTTCTAAAATCAGACTACTTATATTTTTTTATCTTTTATTAGTCTAGGTGAATTTACTACCTTTGTACCCTAAGTCAACTAGTTTGCATTCATTAAGGCAGTTCCAAAATAAATTACTACGACTTGAGTTAATGGGGTTACCCCCACATTTTTCCCTAGCTTTAAGACTTCATTGAAGCCTCCACCTACAAAGCAATTGTTAGTATTGCTTTTAATGATACCATAACAATTTCCTATCAGCTAAAATGTTGCTAACATAAATAGCTGAAAATAACCAAGGGGTGTGGGATGGGAGTACCTTTACCGTGGCATGGATGCCTTGAGGGGTAGTGGATACCTCATCAGCAGTGACACCATCTTCTTTACACATCATCAATATCCCACCAGATAAGCCAATCGTCGGAGACTGGATAAACATATCATAATGTAGCTCCTCCGTCAGTTTTTATGATCAACCATCTTGGTTTCTAACAAAACCAGCAGTGCTGGATTGTGGAGCTAAACCATATCAATGCAGTGCCTCCTGAACTTCGCACTGTTTCCACCCCTGACATTCCATATGATATAGTTCATCAGGGGTGGTTGGCAGTTTGAGGACTAGTTTCTGAGAGGCTTCTCTATTCCCTGATGAGACCTCGTTGGTTTATTTTGGTTCCTTTTCTTCATGCTTAGGACTAGGATCAAATTGAGGAGTGTTTTGGTCACACCGTGGGTGTGGTGAGAGACTAGGCTCAGACCATACTTGGTCG